GACACTTGATTTCCCTGTCAGAAGAATCTCAAAAAAGGGGTCAGTTGAGAGTGAATAAATTTAAAAAGAACTCCAAAGTAGAAGCATTTATATTTTCCTTCCCTAGAATATAAAGTAGAAGAGTTTCAGATTTCAGTGTTTGGAAAGTTTTTATGAGAAATTATTGTCATTTTTATAGTATGGAATCTAGTATACTTTTCAGAAATTGCTTATTACTAGCATAAATTTTGGCCTTACGAATGCCTAAAATTATAGTGATTATATTTCAAAATGCTGTCTTGTAAGGTGAAGGCTTTATATAGCTCACTAATATCAACAGGTTTGCAGTTACGAGTACAAGATACAATCCCACTGTAAACACCAAAGCAGACTTGTAAGATGTTAGTGTTGATTTCTTCCTAAAGTGTGTTGCTTTTTTCCTAATCATGAGTGTTCACTCTTTTCTCTTCTGATTGCCGAGGGCATGGGGGGGGGGACATGTGGGGTAACATGGGGATAAGTACACATATGTAATAATTTAATCAATAAATCAATAAAAAATTTTTTAAAAAAGTAGAACCCGTTTGGAACATGGCATATTGAGCAGATGAAGATGTCCTTAGCCTTTGCTTCCCAAAGCGAGGCCAAGATGATTTAGGAGCTTATACCCAAGCAAACTGCTTAAAATGTCTTAGCGCATTTGTTGTAAGTTTGCATTAGAAAAATTACAAAAGAAATCCTATAACAAAGTTTCACTTTAAAATACATTTATGTTTTATCTTGGGTGTGTGTTGTGTTTTGTTTTGTTTTTAGGAACAAGGAAATAGCAATTCAGAGGACATCAAGACCAGGCAAAAACCCTAAGGCTGGATGTAAATAGCTCAAGTCCAGGCAGAGAAACATTGCTTTAGCACTACCTTCTCCAATCCAACTCCAAAATATCAACTTCTTTAATACTTACTCTGAAGTAGGTATTATTGTGATGTCCTAGCAGTAAACATTTTCATTCATTAGGAAGCTACACATTTTCTGTCTAATTTTATAACAGAATTACTAACTACAAGAATCTAAAGCAGCGGTTCTCAACCTGTGGGTCGCGATCCCTTTGGGGGTCGAACGACCCTTTCACAGGGGTCCCCTAAGACCATGGGAAAACACATATATAATTACATATTGTTTTTGTGATTAATCACTATGCTTTAATTATGTTCAATTTGTAAAAATGAAAATACATCCTGCATATCAGATATTTACATGACGATTCATAACAGTAGCAAAATTACAGTTATGAAGTAGCAACAAAAATAATTTTATGGTTGGGGGTCACCACAACATGAGGAACTGTATTAAAGGGTTGCGGCATTAGGAAGGTTGAGAACCACTGATCTAAAGGATACTTAGAGAACAAATTAATATCATCATTTCATCTTGCAGGTGATTACTTTTTTCAAATGTGCCTTAGTGACCTCATCAAAATGTGAACCCAAGTGTCCTCACTCTCAGCTCCACCACCACTCACCGCCACTACCCAGAATCCTGGCTATGAATATTGGTCTCTGCAAAGAGCTTTTTCTAGTACAGACAGCTTTCAAAATCATTCTTCAGTTTCAGCCTACGATCACTAAATAGTTGCAAATACAATAGCTTACAGAGCAGTGTCACAAAGGCCCGTGTTCCTCAAAAGATTTTTAACTGAAAGAAACGTGAATCAACAAGTATATAAGAAAAATGCACTGGGCTTATCACAAAGACTAGGCTAGGACATAGCCCATTACTAAGTTTTAAACCTCAAAGAGTGTTAGCTTATTTTTGCTAATACTCAATAAGTTTTTTAAAAAATCAGGAAACTCCACCAAGTTTTCAAAAACTAAAATAAGTGTAGATTAGTGCAAATAGCAGGCCTACAAGCAGGTTTTCTGTACGAAACACCCAAATCATGACTAAAATAAAGGGAAAAAAACACTTTCAAATGAAAGGCTAGAAGTAATTAAGGAATGAGAAGAGGGCAATAAATAACTGATTTTAGAGGCAGAATTTGAAGCTAAAAATAAAAATACTTCAGAATTAAAAGTGGCCACTCAAAAATGTGTTTTGCCCGTCAAAGTCACAGGATGTCTTTGTCAAGGGTTCCGAAGCCTGGGTCTTGGTTGCAGAGGGATGCAGGGAAGCAAAGATAAAATTGAAACCTAAACATCCCAATGGGGTATTATGTCTGTTTAGACTCCAAGAAACTCCTTCTCACATCCTTAAAAGGCAAGCTGCTGAGGAGGGACAGACTTAGAGGGGATGTTGTTTTTAGTCCTGGGGTAAATAAGGCCTTGAACATCCTTACTTTTGCCCTGGAGGTGACCTGGGCCAGCTTTCTGCTTAGGGTCATTCAGTCACAGGAAGTCATGCAAAAGGCTTGAGTTGTTTGTTTATTTGTTTGTTTGGGGGATGGAAGTTGAATGGAGAAAAGCAAAACCTAGGAGACCTTAGCACCACCAGCACCAAATCCTCTCTGTCCTTGCCCCTTCTTCCTGCTCGGTCTTCCACAGGTCAGCCGGCTCCCTGCCCGCTGCTCTCCTAAAGGGGCTCAGTGTTGGAGTCAGTGTTGGTGCAGGGGGAGGAGGGAGGAATCACCACCCAGCCCCACACTCACACAAGAGCATCAACTTCTCACACAGCTGCTTCCAACAGGAGACATGTGGTAGGAAAGGTTGCTTCTGTGCTTGGGATTTCTTTCTTTTTTATTTTTATTTCTTTTTTTTTTTTTTTTCATTTAAAAATGGAATAGATAGCCCTAGCGGGTTTGGCTCAGTGGAGAGCGGCCTGTGGGCCAAAGGGTCCTGGGTTTGATTCAGGTCAAGGGCACCTACCTTGGTTGCAGGCTCCTTCTCAGGCCAGAAGCCTGGTCAGGGCTCCTGCAGGAGGCAACCAATGATGTGTTTCTCTCACATCGATGTTTCTCTCTCTTTCCCTCTCTCGAGACTCCACTCTCCCTAAAAATCAATGGAAAAATATTCTCGGGTGAGGATTTATTTTTTTTAAAAAGAGAAAGAAATGGAATATAATAAAAGAGAACAACTTTGAGACATGCACAAAAGAGAGAGGAGAAATTGGATAGGTTACTTAACTCTGGGTCTCATTTGCTCATCTATGAAATGGGCAAGTGGAACTAAATGCCTTCACCTAACCCTAACATTCTCTGTTTCTCCAGGTGGAGAAGGGGCTGTGAAAAGTGGGCACAAGACAGAGCAATCACCTTGCCCTACTTGTGCTGGTGACTGGCATTTCGCAGGCTGGAGGGTCATTTCTGGGTATGGCCTACGAGACATTTGGAAAGAGGTTGGTAGTGTTTGCCTCTAGCCTTAGTGTTCTCTCTCTCTCTCTCTCTCTCTCTCTCTCTCTCTCTCTCTCTCTCCTTTTCTTTTCAAAGGGAATTGCTTGTGATTGAACGTGTGGAAGCACAAATAGCTCTACGGAACTAGTTAGGAAAGTCAATATGCAATTATGCAAAAGTCCGTAGCCAGGCTCCCCAGGAAGCAGAGAGCAGCACTCGGGATAAGGGGCGCGCGCGCTTCCCCTTCCCTGGGGAGGCCGGTGAGCGGAGAGGATTCCCTTGTGTCCTGGTGGCCGCAGGGCTGGATCAGGTTCCCTCCGGGGTCGGTGTCCCCGACTTTGTCTCCGTTTCTGCCACTGGCCGTCTCCTTCTCCCTCTCTCCGTTTCTGTCACTGTCACACCCTGTCTCTCTCCTTTCCTTCCCCACTCCCAACCTCTAACCTCTCTCCCCACATCACCCCCAGTCGCCCGCCGCTCCCCACGCTGAGCACTGGGGTCCCCGCCTCCCGCGGGGGTGTGAGCGCGCGCCGGGCGCACGGAGGGAGCGGGCGGCGCTGCGGGCAGAGGCCGGGGCGGGCGCCCTTTCCACCCGCGGCAGCTGGAATCCCCGCGGGAGAGGAACCGCCCGGGGTCCCCACGCGCGGCTCCCGCGGCTTCTGATCCCATCCGCGCACCTGAAATTAATAACTTCGGCCACAACGCGCGCTTGTCCCAGTCCTTACCCGGGACCGCCGCGGCCCGGAGGGGGCATTCGGGGACCCGGGTCCCCCAAAGGCTCCCGCGTCCCAAACCCACTGGCGGGGCACACCTGGGCCCGGAGGAGGAAGCGGGGAATGGGCGGCACCCCAGGCTCAGGGCCACCCCGGGGCAGAGCCGGCCGGGAATGGAGGCGAGGAGCTTCCAAAACTGGGTTGAGAGGCGAATGGGGTGAGCCGGAGTCCCCAAGTCCAGATGGGAGAAAGGCGCCCTCGGGTGCTCGGCCCCAAGAAACGGAAGACAAGCCGGTGTCCCCGAGCCGCGGCGCCCCGCTCCGCTAAGCGGGTCCCAGTGCTCCGCGCTGCCACCCCGCGCAGTCCCGGCTCGACCCGCTCTGTCCCGCAGAAGCTGAACCCCAAAGAGAAGAGAGGGTGTTGTCAAAATGGGCGGGGGATGGGGCACAGGCCGGAGAGAGGTCTTTTCATCATGCGCTCTTTCCAGATGTTTAGGGGGTCCCCGGGGAGGTTCACGTTCCTCCAAACCAACCTCCACCCCCCCCCCGCCCCCCACCCCCCACCGCCCAGCCAGGTGAGAGCAGAGACCCGCGGCCCCACCCCCGGGTGGTGTATCCCGCCAGGACCCCCTTCAGGCCCGGGAAGTCGGCGCCTGGAGTGGGGTGCAGGCAGGACCTGCCTTTGGGGGACATGGCACCCCGACATGCATGGGCGACAAGGACAGCGCAGCTGAAGGGTCTGCTGTGAAAAGATCGCGCTCCATCAAGAGTCCGGGGAGTGGCATCCCATCAGCGAGTCGCTGAAGTTCTCCCGGCGAAAGAAGGGGCGCCACTCCACTCCGGGCTGAGGCTCAGTGCAAACCGATTTGTTTGCGGTTCAGAGTCGACTTCTCCCATTAGTTATACGTTTTCAAAGGGGCCCTTTCTTGCATAAGTCGCCTGGGGGGAAACATCATGATTTTTAGCAAGTATACCACAGGCTGACGTTAATTGTTTGAAAAAGACATGGAAATATGATATTTATTTTTCCTTTTTAAATAAGGGCATGGGACACTATGTTTTCAGATATCCCCAAGTGAATAGCGACTCAGCAGGCTCCTTCAGCTCCTGGTCTGTTCCTTCCCTGGGTCCCAGGCTACCAGGATGCTTTCTGAGCTGCAGGAGGCCTAGGATGTTCTCATTCATTAGAGAGCTCAATGAAATGTTAAGATACTTATTTTTGAACAATCAGTACGATTTTTTTTTTTTTTGCCTGAAGGTTTTCACAAAATATGCCCCTTTATCCAGTGGAACATGAATGTTTATCATGACCAGTCTGGCCCATCCTGTTGCTTCAAAGATAAATGTTTGCACTTGGTGACCAGAGAACCTTCTCCAGCCCTCAGTACTTCCACCGTCCAGCTTAGAATGTATCAGGCGTGTGAGTACTGGTAATTGGTTCCCGTAAGAATTTTCTACATTTTCTAGCGATCCTTAGGAGAGCCCTGTTGTGGCTGCTTTATTCTGGACCAAGGGATCCAAACAGCATCTCATAAAATAACCTTTCACAGTCCAGTTGGTTATGCTAAAGTTAAGGAGACATGGTCCGCCACTCCCACCACCCCCTCCGCCACACTGCAGCACAACGGAAAGCATCCTGTTTTATTTATTTATTTTTACTCTGCAACATAAGCAATGCTTTAAGGAGTCCCCAATTCTCTGCTATATCTATATTTAATACAATATGTTAACGTCATTCTGACACACTGCCACATCATTTGAAGTAGATCATTGAAATATATTTATGCAGCAAGAAAATGCCCTAAAGCTGACTCCTTTTCACTATTGGATTATTATTTAAAGGCACCCTATCAACTAGTCGTGTACTACTAGGTTATATTAAAATTCAATAGGGAATTTTAACTTCAGAAAAGCAGATGGACTGTTTTAAGAGCCTTGTACCCAAGTCTATGTCTCTTCCACCAAAACCAGCTTGACTTCTCTGTATTTCATTGGCATTGGGCTTTGTTTATATTTTTCCTACACAAAATCACGTCTATATGGTAATTATGGTTATTCAGAAACTATGTCAATGTCAGAGGTCAAAGTTAGCTCCATGCATTTTTTGTATGAAGCTTCCATAATACTAGAGCTCTATAAATATTTTTGAAATCGTAACCAAAATGTATACAATGTTTTTACATGTTTAAGAGAACATCAAACAGCCTCTGCTACATAAAAGCATCTGACTGTGACTTTCACCCTCACTTTTTCCCACATGTGGTCTCCAAGTGAAAACAGTGAAGTTTCACGTTTTTATCCAAGATTGCCAAAAAGTAACTGCACTAACATTGTTCTAATTACCAATTTCATTTCTCCCCTCATGAAAGTACTCTTCTGGATTATTGAACAATATCATGTTCCAAATTCCAAGAATTAACCTGTACATCCTGGATTACCTAGGCAATAAATACATGTAACTTGGCTGTCAAGCCAATTCTCACTCAGAGCCAAGTAACCACCAATATTTTTTTCAGAGATGCTAAGCTTGTCCCACCATCTTTCTTTCTCTTTCCAAGCCAAGACACACACACACACACACACACACACACACACACACACACAGAGTTGTGTAAAATGTAGGTTTTAGCCTTGTGCCTTAATCAAGTGGTTGAGGCATGCCTATAGTTAATCCTAAACTTGGATTTGAAGATTTGAAGTCACAAGATCTGTACTCTGAGTCTAAATTAGGTCTCGTTTCCTCTCTTATTATTTACCAGTAGCAAGTCACATCCCCCTTCCTACCCACTCCCCACCCCCAACACTGGACAAGAGAAAAGTTTAAATTGTAGAGACTGTAGTTTTTCCATTGTCCAGTAGACGGCACAAAAGATCAAGCCTTCAAATGCTGAACAATCCACCAAGGCTGTTTGATTTGGAGTGTGTTTGGCTATGTTGTTTCTTTTAAACAGCCAGCCAGCCAGTGTTGTATCTGTGAAGCAAAGAAGTATCTCAAACATAAGATAACTCACCAAGGTTTTGAAAGGTAGTGATAGGAAAAAGTTTTTATATTTACACAACAAAATGCTGGTTCAGATAATGCACCGTTATAAGTGAGGAGTTCATAGGGAAGTATGATTGAGAATGTATTTAAAAGTTACCTTTAAAGAAATTAAACTGACATATATTACAAGGCATGTCATTTTTAATTATCTTCTAATGGCTAGAGAAAATATTTACAATCTTAACCTTAAAAATTATAAGTTGGAATCTTGCATGATGCAGCTATGCTATGCTTTTTATTAAAGTTAGTATATAACTCAATCCAGAAAACTGAGCATTGTATTTCAAATGGACTTAGATATACATGAATATATAATATGCAGCTGAGAAGGGGAAGAAATTCTCTAAAAGTTTTGTGAATAGGTTTTGGAGGATACACTGGAGGATGAAGCCATTAGAAATAGTTGAAACTTTGCCTCTTCTAAAACAATGTGTGACTTTGGCTAACATTTATATTTTACTAAAAGGCTTCTATTTCCCTTTTCATTCTGCAGACGCTCTTTCTGTAGAAGTGGGGGGGGGGAGGGTAAAGTGTGGGCTAATAACTCATTTCCCAGTTAATTTTATAAAGAATTTATAGCACTGTTTAGAAAGTTTTAAGACAACCATAAATTTTATTAGGAATATTTTATTAAGCCCTCCATTTAATTAATAAAAGACCTCTATAACTTCTGAAAATGTCAGAGCTAGTAATTATGTTAACCAGTGTAATTTTTTCCCCCTCTAGAGACCAAAGCGTTTTAATGATTTGAAATAGAAAGATAGTAAGGAAAACACCCCCCCCAGCCCCCCCCATCCCCCCCCCCCGCCCTCACCATCACCAACCACCCTTCATTTCTTAACTTTTGCATTATCCAGTCAGAATATAGTGACTTAGGTATTTTCCTTTGGACAGTTGGAGAGCCTAAGCTGACCTCTCATTGACTTCTGAACTGGTCCCAGACATTCTTTGTTTTCCAAAGCAAAATGCAGTAAACAAATCTCCCAGTTCTTACAGCTTTAGGGCACTTGATTAACGTCTTTCCTAATCCCCTCAGTTAACCCCCTTTCCTATCACCTAACCAAGTTTCTCCATTTTATAGACCTCTAAATAGTTTATTTCAGTTTCCTCGCAGCCATTCATTAGCTTTGACTTCTTGGTACCTTTCTCCTATCACATCCAGCCTCTTATCTTCAGCATTCCTCTATTATCTCTACTAGATTTTAAATCTATTTTCTTTAAACTGTCCTTCCCGCCCCTGAGTTCTGTTTTTTGAAATGTAAATGCTAATGCAGGGGTGAGATGAGGAGGATGAAAGTTCTTGAAGTACGGGGCCTCAAGCCACTGCACCCCAGGACAACCCAAAGACCAAGACCGATCCTAACAGTTTCACAGGCATCTAAAAGTTAGGTGCCAGATGATAAACCCTTATCATTCTGTGAACACAGCTGCCAAACTCTATTGATTAACAGGCTCTTGTTTATTCTGGGCTGGCAAATACACACACATTTTACCCTAAGAGGTGCCTCTTTAATTTCTGTGGGGTTTGGAGCTGATGCAAGAGTGTGAACTTTTGGGACAAAAGCCTAAATCAGGATATAGATCTTTCCAAAGGCACAATTCCTTATAGAAGAACAGAAAACGAGAAGGGAGTTCTCACTTAGGACTGTACCAACAGCCTAAAGGGGCAACACCTACTTTAAATGCCTCCTTGCAAGAGGGTGTAAACAATAGAGACATAGGTCCGGGCCTGCCTCTTTAATGTCCTCCTTCTCTCTATTTGGGAAGATCCTCTGGGTTAGGAAGGGAAAGCTGACTATGGAAGGCCCAAGTGCAAGTACCAGGGGCAAGTGTCAGAACCCTTCACTAGGCCAAGTTTTCCCAAGGTAAAAGTGCTATTGCCTTAAAGCAAGTGTTTGAAATAAGCTAAGGATGCATGCTGTCTCATCACAGGTATAAATGTGGATAGTAGTTTACTACAACCACCCCTTTACCTTTTCCTTTTAATAGGTGATTAATTGCTGCTCTACTACAGCAGGTTTTTTTTTCTTTTCTTTTTATGGCTACTAGATTGCAACTCTAGATGTCCTCTGTGCAATTTCTCTCAGCAAGCCCTAACTATAATAACTGTTTGCTAATTGTAAAATCCTTATCCAGAATGAGGTTTGGGCAAACAATTTGTACTACTGTAATTACACTGTAAAAGTGTTTTAGTCCCTTGATTGTTCAGAATTAATCTTATAAAGGCCTAGGAGTAGCAGTAAGTTTACAGTTATAAATGGAAAGGTGGGAGGGAGGGAGGGAGGGAGAGAAGAAAGAAGACACTTTTCAAAACTAGTAAGTTTACTTTAAGCCCACACAAACTATCTATTTCTTTAAGAAAAATCTGTGTGTAGGTATTTTAAAGTACATTTATAAGGTAATCTGACACATCATGGCAAAATAGTCTTCCTAAAAGCTTTGAAATGTTTGGTTGTTTGAAAAGGAGTGACTTACCTGAACTTTCTTTTTTCATTTCTGCTAGAAAACAAAAGAAAACATTTACCAGAAAGCAACAGTACAAAATTAAGTATATATATATATATATATATATCCCCAAACTGGCCTTTTCCAAACTTGAGAATGTGGCTGCAGAGTTGAGGTAACTCCAAGCTGGTTACCTAAGGCTTGCCGGAGAACCCCTAGGGCTGTTAAAAGTCTACAGTCATCGAAATGTATTTCGCAGGAAATTTCTCTGAGTTAAATTATACTTACACAATTTTCCTCACACTTCATTTAAAGATCATAAACGTAGATTCGCCCAAGTCAAGGTTTGGCTTGACACCCCCTCCCCTGGCTTCCCCCTATGACCAGCGGCGCGGATGCCTGGCGGGCCTGCTCCTACCCCCGCGAGCCGCCTTCCAAAGGCGCTCGGGTATTGGCCAGAGTCGCTGGGCTGGGGGTTCGGGAAAGGGCTTGCAGGCTGCCGGCCCAGTTTGGGTCTCTCGGTAATCGTAAAAGGATTGTGTTGCCTGCCCAGCCAGCGCAGTTTCCCGAGAAATAAACAGAGAAATCGCCTTCCTGAGACCCAGAGGTTCCATCTTGGCCTGAAAGTCTGTTTGCAAGTTCACAGGGGGTTGGGGAGGATGTCAGGCAGGGGCATAAAGGCGCTGGTACGTCACCTGGATCCCCTTGGCTTTGACACGCGGGCCTGCCTTCACCTCCCGCGTGATGTGCCTGTGGCGGGGCGTTTGTGCCAGAAAACTGTATACATGTTGGCGGTGGAGAAAAGTACAAGACCCTAAAACGAGAGAGAGAGAGAGAGAGAGAGAGAGAGAGAGAGAGAGAGAGAGAGAGAGAGAAGGGACTCTAGGGGCGGGGGTTTAAACACTCGGATCTCTTTGAAGGCAAAGCGCATCTGAGGCTCTGGGACGAGTACCGTGTGGAGGAGCGAGCGGTGTGCGGGAAGCTGGGTAGACTCAGCGGCTGGGCTTTATGGGAACTCCACTAGCCACTGCTGGGGGGACCGGGCGCCGACTCGCGCACAGAACTCAAAGAAGCAATAGATGTCGCTTAGGGAGGCGACGTGCGCTCGGTGGGACCTGATTCCAGATCTCCGGTCTGATGCTCGCCCTGTGCCCACTGCTCCTCCAGAGCCCACTTAATAGAAACTCGAGCCCTACCTCTCGGGCTGAAGCAAATTCTCTTTTAGTTTGCGTTTGTTAAGAGTTGGCCTCAATACATTTTAGAGCTTCTAACCTTTTCCAAACAATCTCTGGGACAAGAGCCCCCTCATCAGTCTCAACTGTTCCCCCTAACAATGCCCCCCACCCCCACCCCCCAGTTTGGGGTGAGGTTTCCTTGTGCAGCTGGCGGGGTGGGTTGTGGTGGGGGCGATGGGGGCGAGGGGCTGGCTGCTTTGGGAAAGTCAGCCTTTTAGCCACCATCAGGGCGGGAATCCCGACTGGCAGTTTGCATTCCGGGCAGATCGAAGCTCCCTGCTGATCGATTATTTGATAATTGATTTTCCCCACAGCCAATGCGGGGCCGTCTTGGCGGGAGCGCCTCCTGATTGGCCGAGCCCTCCTCCACCGCTGCCTACCGAGATTTGGGTGAGTTCATTTTCCAGTCGACCGCAGGGGGAGTTTTCTGCGAGGTTTCAGCTGGAGGGAGGGGGAGAAGATCTTGCCCCGAGCCGAGCGAGCTGCGAGCCCAGCTTGGAAATGTGAGGTTTCTAGCCCGCGGGTTGAGCTGCTGAGGCTTGAGCCATTTCGGCAAATCAGAGTCGGGCCGGCTGAAAAAATAAAAAAGAAAATAACATCACCAAATGTAATAAAGGGCAAGCTTAGAAAGGGAGGATAAAGAAAAGGAATTTTTTAAGCCAGAGAATAGGTATTTAAAGGGAGAAAGTAAAAATCAGTGGCTGGTTGGAGCCTCCGAGTTGTGGGTAGGGGCAGCTTTTTGTCTGAAACCTCAGCTTTTGATGTGGATGTCTTCGGCGCTGGGAGTTTTCCCCGAGCCGGGTTGGAGACAGGAAAGCGGAGTGGGGGGCGAGATGGGGAGGAGAAGGGGCTGAGGAGAGCGCGAGGCGTCGCCGGGGAAAAGCTGACGGCGCCGGGTCCCTTCAGGCCCGAGCACGGCATCAGCCAGAGCCCTTCGGCGCCTCGAAGACAAAGGCGGAGCGGCTGTAGTCCCAGCCGAACGCGCCGGCCCTGCTGCGCCGCGCCCTGGGCGCACCGCTGCTCCGCCCGGAGAGGATCGGAGAAAGAGCCTCCCTCCCCGCGGCGCCTGGGCCCGGCTCCGCCCGCGAGGTCGGGGCTGCTCCGAGCCCGCGTCGGGTTTCGCTTTCCGGCGATCGTAAATAGCTTGGTGTTTGTAAACAGGCGCTGGGGGCACATTCCCGGCTCTGAGCTCATTGTTCCCTCCCTTCCTCTCGCACTTCGTGCAGGACTCCGGGGTTGGGGAGGTCTCCAGGGCTAGGAGGTGGGGGCGTCCAGACCCCCAAAGTGAGAAAATGCAAGCATTTCCTCTCCTTGGACCGAGTGTCTACCTCTGACAGCAAAAAACTCTTAAGCTGGATCAGCAGACAGCCCCAGCCATCCCCACCCCACGTTCACGGGACTCCTTAGCAGAGCCTTTCCCAGCCTTGCTCCCGCTCCTCCTCCCCGCTCCCCTCTTGACTTTTCGACTTGGGAGTCTTTAGTTCTGAGAACCCGGTACTTTCCTCATCACCCCCTTCCGCCCTGAAAAAAACACTGGCAGACCCCAATCATTTCGAGGAAAGTCATGAAGTCAATGCGCGGAGCCCCGTGCAAAATAACTCCCGCCACTGCCTGCCCCGCATTTATTCCCAGTTTATTTCAAGCATCGGCTTTGGGGAGAGAGTCTGGAGGGGGAGGGAGAGAAAAGAATACGGAAAATAAGACCGGTGGCCGGGATCTGCTGGCCGCGTCTGTGCGCGTGTGCCCTGGGTGTGTGGGTGTTTGTGCCTGGGCGTGCGATTTAATGGAGCGCCTCTCTGCCTCTCCAGTGCGGCCAGAGCTCGCTTCGCGCACCCACCCCTGCCGGGGAGCCTACTTGCTGCAGCCCAATGCATTGTGTAAGACGCGACCTGTTATGGCCACCACTACTTCCGGGTTCTAGCATTCTGGTCGGAATCCACCTCTCCGCCTGTGCAACACACACTTTACACACGCACGGGGACTGCAAGCGGGCAGCATCGATTGTGGCTCCTTTAAGACAAACTCAGACAGACATTTTTTTTTTAACCCTCCTCCTCTAATCTCCCTCCAGTGCAGCAGTTGCAAAGAGGGAGAGAGAGAGAGAGAAAGAGAAAGAGCGAGCGAGCGAGAGAAGAGAGAAACTGATTAGGAATTAGGACTGATTCAAGGGGAGCGAGCGCTAGGGCTTTGTGCATTTGAATATTAACATTTGAGGTGTTCTGACCAGAAGAAGACAGAGCGGATGATCATTCATTCACCACGTTGACAACCTCGCCTGTGATTGACAGCCGGAGTGGCAGAAAGCCATGAGATTTGGTAGTTGGGTCTGAGGGGCGCTGCTTTTTCTTTTCTTTTTTTTCTTTTTTTTTTTTTAAACTGATTTTTTTGGGGAGAGAAGATCTGCTTTTTTTTTTTTTCCTTTTTTTTTTTTTTTTTTTTTTTTTTTTTTGCCCCCGCTGCTGTCTTGGAAACGGAGCGCTTTTATGCTCAGTGACTCGGGCGCTTTGCTTCAGGTCCCGTAGACCGAAGATCTGGGACTAATAGCTCACGTTGCTGGAGACGTTAAGGGATTTTTTCGTCCTGCTTAATTTTTTTTTTTCCGGGGGAGTTTGCGTATTTGTTTCCTTTCACACTGGCCTTAAAGAGGATATATTAGAAGTTGAAGTAGGAAGGGAGCCAGGGAGGCCGATGGCGCAAAGGGTACGTATTAAAAAAACAACAATTGTGGAACTCAAATGTGAGATTAAATTGAAACGTGGCTGAAAGACACTGCTAAAAAGTTTCCTTTTTTTCCTCTCTGTCTTTCTGAATGAGGCTCCTAAAGCCGTGGCCTAAAGTGAGAGTATTTATTCAATGCGTTTGTGAACTTATGTATGTTACATGTTAATTCGAATAATCAAGTTTTCTGTAGATTCCTAACCAATATATATATATATATATATATATATATATATATATATATATATGCTGGGGCAATCATCTGGTTAAAAAATAAAAAACAAAAAAAATGCTAGATAGCTAATGCTATGTGAGCATTCAGAGAGCAAAAGTTTAGAGCTATTTTTAAACTAAAATAGACAACTAGAAACTTCTGATATGCTATTGATTATGTTCATCTTTAATACCATTAGAAGTATTTAGCTATTTAAAGCCAATAACTTTGTCATAGTACAACTTATTTGGGGGTCAAGAAACATTCATCTTTTTAAAAAGTAATTTTAATGTGCATGGATTTTTATGCAAGGTAATACTTAGAAAGTTTATCTCAGACAGCCCTGCACTAATTGGATACTAAGCACACAGCTACTCACTTTTAAAATGCAATACTAATTCCCCCAATATTCCTATTTGAATGGAAATGTAGTGAGAGTAAAGTGAGACCATGACAACCCAACTGAGGTAGTTTCTTAAAAGAAAGAGGGTCTACAGAAAGCCTTCCTTGCATAATTTGTGTCCTGGCCCTCAAAGCCCTGTTTGCAAAAGAAAGTTACTAGGCTGACACATTTTTTTTTTCTCCTTTGGTTCAGGCAAATGTCAGCGTTCTTCCAAACTCTTTTCACACCTCTGGCTCTAAGGAGATGAAAGTGGCAATTCCTCTTTTCTTTGAAAATCATTTCACTCTCGACGCCTTCAAATCTTGAGGGGGAAAACACTTGCCTGGAATGAACCAATGAGAAAAACCTAAATAGCTAAATTTTGCACACAAAAATAACGACAATCAATCTGAAAGTAGAGTTTCTAGAGGAGGAAGATGGTAGGTTGCATGTGCATTTGCTACTGAATTTGCTTTAAACCTGATGAGTACCATTTGCCCTATTAACTTCTAGTCTGGGAGAAAGTTCTTAAGACTAGAGAGAATAGAATAACTAACTGCCCCAACAACAGATTTTCTTTACTATCGGGGTGGAAGTTGCCCAATTCTAAGTTCAGCTGTAAGGTACAAGAAAAACCACCCCTTCTCTGAGTTTCACTTCTAAGGGGGCCAGTTAGTTTTGTATAATTTAGCAGAGTTTGTCTTGGAAAGCAGAGGAAATGCAGTGTCTTGCAGGACTGCCTACCCTCTTGCTGGCAGGGAAATAAAATAAGAAGCCTGTCTGAATTCACGTGCTTGGTGTAGCTGTTCCCATCCTAACTTTTTTTTTTTTAAATTCCCCCTGATGAGAAGGGGCTGTGAAAGTAGGCAGGTTTGCTGCACTGTCCTGGCACGTTTTATTATTGTGATTTTGAGTTTCCTCCTATGGAGACATGCATGTTTTACCTTCCACCCTCCGGGAGAATTGCCTCCCTTTCTTTCCTTCCTTTCTTGCTAAAGGATTCTGAATTTCTGAATTAGTTGATAGGGGCACAAGTTAGGGCAAGACCATTCATCCTAGCCGGGTTTCACTGAGAATCCTAGAATTTTTACTTTAAAAAATATTTTTAGATTAAAAAAAAACCTCAGCTTTAGAGATGCAAGGCCACCGAATTGGAGGTTGAAGGATCCAGCTGGACTGACATTATATAAGCTCCCTGCCCTGCCGGTCCCCCCTGTGCCCGCCTGGCCTTCTGAACCTTGTTTCTCTCCTGTTTGTCATGCAGTACGACGATCTACCCCATTACGGGGGCATGGATGGAGTAGGCATCCCCTCCACGATGTATGGGGACCCGCATGCGGCCAGATCCATGCAGCCGGTCCACCACCTGAACCATGGGCCTCCTCTGCACTCTCATCAGTACCCGCACACAGCTCACACCAACGCCATGGCCCCCAGCATGGGTTCCTCCGTCAATGACGCTTTAAAGAGAGATAAAGATGCCATTTATGGGTAGGTACCATGGGCAGCAGGTTAAATAGCCGAGACGCGGTGCTAATCCTGTTTCCCTTTGCCTTTGGTAAGGGGAAAGACAGAGTACTCTGGACTGGAGATGCAGTACTTGGTGACTTTTCATTCGCATTGCATGGAGAATCTGGGGGTGGGGGGCTGCCTGCCATCCCGGACGCCCCCCTCTCCATGCGCGCTCCGCCGCTGCCCAGCCTCTGGCTCTGCCGAGGCTGTGCCTGGGAAGGGGGTCGCCGTGCAGGAGAAATCTCCCAAAGGTCCCTCTTCCTCTCTCAGAGGGTTGGTGTCCCGGCTGGAAGCAGTGTTCTGGGAAAGCGTTGGGGGTTTCTCACTGCAGGCGCCTTTGTGTTGGAAGGAAACTTTTAGTTTCAGGGAAAATCTTTTAAGCCACTGATTGTTCGGACTTGCTAAGTTTACTCAGCAGCCCTGTGCTGGCTCTGCCACCAGCACAATAAAATGCAGGGAGGACAGTTGCAAGTCAGGCAAGGGGAACAAGCTTTGCATTTGGAAAGTTTGACCGCGGTAGTCACGGTAGTCAAGGCAGGCAAGGAGAGGAGCTCGGTCTGAATTGTTACAGACATGAAGAAACTTCTAGTCGTTTTAATACTTTGTGAGCCAAGATGAAACCTGCAGGCTTTAGAAGTAGATGCGGGGTGCTATGGGCCGTGTTGTTTTCTGACTGCGGTTCCCACCGTGTTCTCCCGGCCATTCCATCAGACACTGGACTGGTAAAATCCTTTGAAAGAGCCTTGTGCCTACTGTGTGCTGGTGAATTTGGGGACCTCTTTTGACTTTGCAGCAACTTTTGTTTCTTCTATTTAAAAAAACAAAACAAAAAAGAATCATGCAACACCGACCCTCCCCAGCTGCACAGCCTTTCTGCTTTATTTTTCTGGTCCCTCGTGCGATGGGCTTGTTTAAATCCCAGCGTTCTCTCCGCAGCCTTGACTGCAAATGGTTTAGGCTCTGGGACAGAACATTTGGGGAAGCTTTGAAAAGGACCCCGAACTGTTAAATTCCCAGCTGGGCTGTGAGAGCTAATAAAAGACTGGAGACACCTCCTTGGGCATTAGAAGAAGCTTTTTTCTTTCTTTTATGGGCTGAGATAAGCGACATCTAGGCCCCTCGCCGTACTGGCTGCCTTGCCATTCCGCTGAGACAAAATGAAAGGCTTTCTGGCTTTCTGGCAGGACCACGGGCGGGAACTTTCTTTTGGGGGTGGTGGGGGGATCGGCGAAGGCAGGGACAATGTGCACGGAGCCCAGAAGGCGCCTCCTTGCTCTCCGAGGGCCCTGGGATGGAGATCGGCAGGGGCAGCCCCCTGACAGCCGGTCCCGCAGCCTTTGGAGGTCCTTTCCCCAAGTTAGCTGAGCGCCTGCCACCGAGATCCCAAGCCTGGGCTTCGCGAGGCCGCCTCGGAGGAGCCCCCTGGAAGGAGCTCTCCCAGCCCCTGTGCCCAGCGCCTTTCTCCGGCTCCAGGTCCTGGATGTGCAGCCGAGGGCCGAGGGCTTGTCGGGTGGGAAACTTCATTCAAAATGGCTGCTGGAACCGCTTGGGTTTTATTCTTAGCAAATGTTACCAATTTCTCCGGCCAGATAAGCTGAACCGATCCTCAGATACGGTCCGTGGCGTAAGGCCTCCAACTTCGGGGCCCTAAGAGGAAGGGGAGGTGAGCAGTCACCTGGGTGGGGGGGAGGGGGGAGGAAAAAAGTAGATGACAAAACCCGGGAGGGGGTCCCTGCCTCCAGCTCCTCCGGCTGCTTTTCTTGGGCGCCCTTTCCCCTGACTCCGGACTAACCATTGTGTTGTTTGTGACTGTTGTATTTTCTTGCAGACACCCCCTCTTCCCTCTCTTAGCACTGATTTTTGAGAAATGTGAATTAGCTACTTGTACCCCCCGAGAGCCAGGGGTGGCGGGCGGGGACGTCTGCTCGTCAGAGTCATTCAATGAAGATATAGCCGTGTTCGCCAAACAGGTCAGCAAAATAAATGTTTAAAAAATAAAGGGGGGGAAAGGGGACCTCCCTCCCCGGCCCCCCGACCCAGCACATTTGCAAGAGTCATTAACAACTAGTCCACCCTGGGCCATGCCTGTTACAGCTACCCTGAGATTTCCCTCCTGTGTAAGTGTCCGCGGGGGGGACTCAAAATCGCCCATATCCATCCCAACTCAAGCTCCATAACCTCATGTAGAAAACTCTCTTTATAAAAATAAAATCGCCAACACCATGCGCTGCAGCTGCCTGGGACTTGGTGAGCTGAGCAGCCTCCTTTGGAGGCGTCGCTGCTGGTAGAAGTCACCCAGAGCTGGGGGCTTGTTTTCGGCTAGAGTCTCATTGAAGTGTGTTTGCGCGGGAGGAACTCGGTGTCACCGAGTCCCTCCAGGAGGCTACGTCCTGGCCCCGACAGTGTAATGAGTCAAGAAAGTAGGAAGGCGAACAGATTTCAATTTTTTTCTCCCCCCCCCACCCCTTTCCCTTCTCACTTGTATTTAGATTCGTGCAGAAAAACCTCTATTTTCTTCTAATCCAGAACTGGATAACTTGGTAAGAGCGGACCCCTACTCCCCTCCCTCAGCTCCCCTCCCCTCAGCCCCCCAGCTTTGCTTTGAGGGCCCTGAGGTTTCTAGACCCGTCATCCCGCCGCCGCTGCAGGTCTGCTGCAAATGTTTCCGTCCACGGACAAGCGGTCCGGGACATGATCCCCGGGAAATAAATTTTTCTGGAGAGGGGCCGGGCAAGCGGCGCAGAGAAACGCGAGCTTTTGTTTTTTATGACAGCCGGGCAGCGCAGCTCTAATCAGCGCGGGGATTTATCTCCGGGCCTGTCAGCGTGTGTGCTTAAACTTTGCAGACTTCCCAGCCCTCAAAGTCGCCTCAGGAGGGGCACCAACCAGGCAAGAGCCCCCTGACCACCAGTTTGCCTGAAAGGTGTGCCGAAGGCAGCAGAAAGTTTGCAGTGCTAAAAGCCACAATGTGGGGGACTATTTTGACTATTTTCCATGCACACCTTCCAAGGAAACGTCTAGTCCAAGGATGTGGCCCTTTGGGGGTGGGGAGGAGGCAGTGGGGCCGAGGAAGGGGAGAGAGCCATGGGGGAGGAGAGTGTTTATGATCCCCACTTAGATGCTTTGTTGTTGTTTTAGCTATTTCTTTCTCCTTAAGAAATATAAACCTCTAGATCGTACCCAGTCGCCGCTATTAAGTTTTAGTGTTATTGCCATAAATCAAAATAACTCTATTTACTGGGGGGAGGGGGTGGGCTGGAGATGCTAGAGCTGTGACAGCCAATTTTCTGCAAACTAGGAATAGGGTGCTCATTCTTTTTGTGTCTTTGCAGATGATTCAAGCCATACAAGTATTAAGGTTTCATCTGTTGGAATTAGAGAAGGTAATTTCTCTAGCCTCTTTTTCTTTTGCCCCTTCACCCCCAAAGACACAGGATGGGGGAGGGTTCAGAATGGCTGAAGTTCAGGCTTCTGAAACATTTGCATAAATGTCTTTCTTTCTGGTAATTAGTGTCAAGGCCAATCTTTGCATCCATTTCTCTTTGCAGTTTAATTACAATTTCAGCCACTAAAACCGGGATCACAAACGCCCTAGCCTTGTATTCATTCTTAATACCTTGCTGGCTTTGTATAAATAGTTGCAATTCTATGCAACCCCCTTGATGTTAAGAATGCTTTTGTGAGTTGCTTCACAGGTTATACCTTTGTGGCCTCTTCTCTTCCTCTTCTTCTTTTTCTTTGCTACCTCTGGGGAGGGGGGAGTTTTGTTTAGTTTTAGTGAGTTTCTGGAAGACAGTCTGAGAGCAGCCGCAGGTCAGACACAGAGGAGAGGCCGAGTGGGGGTTGGGGGGAGCGGACAGAGAGTCTGGAGGAGGTGGTGGGAGAAACACATTAAATGTTTTGCACAGACAAAGTAGAGTTGATAGTTGCGTCAATTTCTTGAATCTGCAAATCCTGCACACATCCCACCTTCACACTCAAGAAAGGGTGTGGGCTAATACAATTTTGCTAGCTGTTCTATAAATCTCAGCAATAAAAACTTAATGCATTGTAATTCAAACTAACATCAAATCGCAAGCACACTGGGGTTTCTTGTGAATTTTTGCATGTCAGTGATGACTGGGGCCTGTAAGAGACCACTCCACTTGCACCTAAATATTTTGAAGCAATCTTTTTCCTTTTTATATCTAAAAAATCAATTGGATACATTTTTGTGACTGTAGGGTTTTTTTCCCCATATATTGATTACTGGAAAGTTGATTTCCTTTTATTCAAAGGAAGTATCCTAAAATATGCTTCTTATGGATAGAAACCCTAATTTCAAATATTATAGGGACTGGGGTTGTCAGGCATAGATCCTATGCCACCACAGTACTGGTCCTTTGAATATATATAACACATATCCAAAATTACATATAGACGCATTTTCCTTAGACAAATTGGAAAAAGGACCTGTGATAAAGTAACTAGATAAAATTAAATAGTTTACCTTCAATGTCACCCACGCAGGTCACCTCTCTAATGGCCACAGTCCTGGAAGCAGATGAATTTAACACGGGTGTTGAATATGTTGTAGCCTGTGAATCATCTTGTCACTGTCAATTTTCTGGGATATCTCTATTTTGCAAGAAAAGAAAGTTATTCCTAATTCTGGATGCGTCTGGGGGTCTCTGGAGGACAATTGCCCTGTGTTTCCCCTGTTTGGAAGTTTGGATCTCACAAGGGGGGGGGGTGGATTGCACTTGTCAATGTCATTTATACCCTCTTGATTATATTTCCATTTTTTATTTCTGTCATAATGTAGGTACACGAATTATGTGACAATTTCTGCCACCGGTATATTAGCTGTTTGAAAGGGAAAATGCCTATCGATTTGGTGATAGACGATAGAGAAGGAGGATCAAAATCAGACAGTGAAGATATAACAAGATCAGCAAATCTAACTGACCAGGTATGTGCTTTTCAATTTCAACATCCCTGAAAAAAAAATCTGTATGCATATTGCTTGCTGGGTCACTACCACCTCCTTTTATTATTTGCATATGATTAAGTCCCTTTTAGATACATTTCCATCGAAATGAAAATTTTTGAATAATGTGGCTATTATTGCTTCATTAAGGCCGGCTCTGGGATTCGACTTGGAGAGATGAGCTTGCAAAGGCTTTGCCTGCAAACTTGACCTGTTTCTTGTCGCTTTTAATTTTTGTCTTTATTTTATTTACCCTCTATAATAATGGGAGTGTTAACTGCCAGTGACCGCCTCTGATTGTAGGGCTTTGTTCTGGAGCATTCCCCCAACCCCCCTTCTATCTTGAAGAAAAGAAAAGAGTGGGGTCTGCTTATTTCTTATTTTATTAGGAATAAACCCAAGATAGGTGGTCTAAGAAAGACAGCCAGGGTTTGAAATCTAGCAAATGCTGGCTGTTTTCTCCCTGTCTATACGGTTCATTAGCCTGTCTTGTCAGTTTTCCTCGGCCGAACGCTTCTAGACCTCACTGAACATTGCTTTGTGCAGTGCTCGCTGCAAGCTCGCCCATTTTATTGTACTTCATAGACAAAATAAGACCAGGCCGAGGGTATACAAACAGATAAATATGGACTTTTCTCCTCCACCTTTCCACTCGTCCTCCAGCTGGTACGTGCTCTGGGCCCCCTGGGTTGGCAGCTTTTGGAAGTGTCAGCATCAGGGCACCTTGGCGACTCCCTCGGTGTGGCGGGTGGGGGACCTCGCGCCGCCACCTTGACTCTCAGCTGCCGGCTTTGGCTTGTTTAGCCCCTTTCTCTGGCGTTCTCCTTCAGGCCCTTCTTCCGCTGCGTTGCTAAGTGGGGCCACTTTTATTTGGACTTGCTGGGGGTATGTGTATGTGTGTGTGGGGGGGATGGATTTCTCTCCCTCTCTCCCTCCAACACCACTGTTTGCTCCCAGTGTCTCTCTCTGTCCAGTCGCTGTGTCTCTGGATTGGTCCAAAGGAGTTGCAAAAAGAGCGTGAAAGTGAAAACGTGAGGAGTGGGTGGGCTAAAACAGGGCTCATGACAGCTCTCCGTTGCGAATGGTTGCAACGCGTCTGGAGATTTGGGTTGCGGGCCTCCTCCGCCTCCCATATCTGCAAGCGAAGGCCCAGAGTTGTTTCTCTTTCTGACTTGGCACGTGAGTCCCGTCTTGGGGGAGAGATCAGCCTGTCTTTGTTCAGCTCAAGGACCGCCAGGCGGGCAGCTTTCCTGGCGGGCTCTGCCAGGATCCCCGGGGCCCAGTGGCTCCCTTGCGGAGTCCTTGTCCGAGTGCTCTGCTCCTCGGTCTCTCGGTCTGGGTGTCATCTCAAAGTTTTCTTCTCTCAAATGTCTACCCCTTCGAATAAACTCCCGGCTTTGATTTCTCTGGGGAACTCCGGACAGAGGCTGAGTCCCCCTTTCCCCAGGAGGAGGGGAGGGCAGGGCCGAGCTGAGCTTTAAAAGCGCCGACGCGCCGGGTCCTTACTGTTATTTGGCAAGTTGCAAACTTTCGACTGTGTAGACGAGTACACAGAACAAGCCGCCTGCGCAATCCTGGCGCGGCCGGGGCCGAGGTGGGGAACCTGCAGGCGGCTGCGGGGCGGGCCTGGCTTTGACCCCGCGGGGGGCTGCCCGGCCGCCCGCCTGCCCGCCTCAGCCCACCAGCCCTCCACCCCCGAGCTGTTCCAGGCAGATTCCGCCGAGGAACCCTTGGGTAGCTGCTGTTGAATAAAAATTGTAATCCAACAAGCCTAACTAGAAAATGGGATTCTAAAAGCTTCTAGTGCTGGGTACATAAAGCTATTTGAGCAAATTACAAGAATCGCTTAGGGGCATGAATGAAATCAACACTTTAATTGCCTCCAAAATGAAGATTTATGCCCCGTTTTCTCAACGAATCATTATTTTATTAAAGTCAAAGATAAAGGACCAAAGTTATGAGGTGTTTTGGGGGGCATACAGAATTGATGTGCCATCAGTGAGTTCTTCCCCCTACTCCCTCGGCAAACTTTGGTCCACAATTACTTTAACTTGAGATCTGCAGGTCGGTAGGCACTTCTATTGGGTGAAAATACGCATTTTATTCTCCTCCCCCACCTCTGACATGAGAAGCGTGCTCCCCACCCCCGCCGCTCAGGAGGGGGCTTCGCAGCTTTGGCGGAGCTGGTGGCGCTGTTGGCCTGTGCGCGTGGGGCGCGCTCTCCAGACCCCCCAGCTCCCCTAGGTCTCCGATGGTCGGAGGGCAGCAAACCCAAGTTCGGTCCAATGGACCACCTCTCGGGAGCCAGGAGCGAGGTGCCTGGGCTCCCTTTGGAGCGGGGAGCGCAGAATGCGGGGCACTCGAGGGCTGCGCCTCCGAAGCGGAGTTTGTCCCCTGTTCTGGGAGGTTGGGAGCAGAGACAGGGCAAGGGGGCCGCCAGGTGGGCGCCAGTTTTCCCGGCTGGAGCTTGCTGGCGGGCCCCTGGGGGCGCTGGACCCCTAGTGGGGCACCCGCGGGGGGGGGGGGCGAGACCCAGGAAAGACAGCCCCGCCACCTGTCTGCGAAGGCGGCCTGGGCAGGTTGGAGCCCCGGCAGAGGGTGCGCTTGCGGGACTAGATGCTTCAGGTGTGGCGCGAGCGCGGGCTTCGCTAGCTTATTAACCCCGCTGTCTCTAGGGCCTGCTGGAGGCCAGGTTATTTTTATTTTACTTTTTCCTC